TTGCCCCCTCTTTTCCCCCTCCTCTCCTCTCCCCGGATCCGACGATGAAGACTTGTCGAGCTTTTCGTCATGGATCAAAAAATAATTATAAAAGTGTAGCAAGAAGGGGAAAAAATGAGGGACAATGAGTGGCTGCCGCGACTAATACATTGTTCCATGGATTTTTTGCAATGTTTTTCTGTTAATTGTTTCGTTGTTTTAGAAAACTCCTCTCTCTGTTACGTTTCTCGGTGTCCCCACAGCCCTTTTCGCGATATTTCGTCTTTCAACTTCTGTGATATATTATTAATAAAAGATTAACAGCTTAATTGATAGCCCTGTGATAAGCGGTGCAGCATAATTTGCATCACTTTTTTCATGCCTAATCAATTTTATGCTAATTTTGACTGTTCCTTCTGCAGCAGATTGTAGCAGCCAGGTTGACCTTGGAAGCCTAAATGACGAAAGCGCGATAGATTACTATGTGAGAGGAGATAAGATTGAGATAAGACGTCATATATGCCTTAGCTCAACACCACGCAACAGGACCTTGTCAGTATGACGGTCGCAGTGCTTAATGGAAAAGGAAAAGAAATGGCTAGCGCACCGACTGCCGGTGAGGAGATGCGTTTTTTGCATAGTTCCCCGCAGATTTTTGTCCAGCAGATGCTTCTAGCTAAAAGAATTTGAGACTGGTCACCAGGACTGTCAGGAAACATTCCTTTAAAATTTCAGCTCTCTAACTTTCCTGGTTCCTGAGTTAGTAACTTACCCACAAGAAATTTCGCGGGCTCGTACATAGAAATCACGCATACCCAGAGGCTAGGTTTGAACTCATTAGAACCTGCGGGGGCAGGAAAGGTCCCTCAAAATCCCAGCCTTTTAACTTTTCAGGTTCCCGAATTAGCAACTTACTCGAAAAAAATTTCCACAAGCCCGTGTATGGGATACCTAGGGCGGAGTTTGATCTCTTTAATACCACATTAATGGGGAAAATCTCAAAATTTCAGTTTTCTAGCTTTTCTGGTTCTCGAGTTAACAGCTTCCCAAGAACTTTGGTGGGCCTGTGTGTGAGAACCACGCGGATAAGGGCGCTCATTTGGGGGATTAGGTCCGCACGTACGTGTAGGTTAAGCTTCCAAAGGTTCAGCTGTACAGCTTTTATAGGTCACGGCATAGACGCACGGACAGACAAAAAAATCGGCATAGACGCACAGACAGACATATAGATACACACACACACACACACACACACATATAGACAACCACTCCTCGTCAATATGCGTTTTCTGCATTGCATAGATGCAAAAAGGGCATAAAAAGGGCAAGCAGAGGAAACGACGGTCTGACGATAGTGGGATTAGA